GCTACCATTCAACCCACTATAATACCTAATGCTTATTGAGCGCCTTCTACAGGCCAGAACTTTGCATGCATTATTTAATCATTCCATTAAGCTAAGTCTTGGAGGAGAGAGTCCTGGGTAGTTCTCATCTGGGGGTCTGATGCTGTTTTTTCCAGAGGTTAAGGCGGTGCTTGGCTCCATGGCTCCATGATTAGAGACTGAAGGAAGTGGGTTAATGCACGTAATTCCTAGATTTTATGGATTCCCTCCTTGGCTCTCTCCATGTGCAATATCCTTTCCCCTGTCTGCAAAATGTCTGTGGTGGACACCAGTGTGCTGTCCGGATCCTCCTTCAAGCAGGGACTTGTCATCCCAGCTGCTGAGATTGTCGTCATCACATGGCCTCCAGTCCTCAGCCCCTCTGGGTCGGCCTCAGTGCAGAAAGCACACCAGGACAGGTGTGGACCACATCCGTCAGTGACTGACGGGAGCAGCAATACAAAGCAGCTGGACATATCAGCCCAACGTGGGATAAACTGGGTGGGCCGTTTCACCACCAGAGTTCCCTGTGGGGTCAGGAGAGACTCTGTGTGACCTGCGCAGCAGTGTCTCTCTCAGCCCAGTCGTGCCTCCTCCTCCCTTCCACACATGCAGAGCCCAAGGGCACCACTTAAGGAATTTTTTTGTTTGTTTGGTTGGTTTGTTTGTTTAGAGAGAAAATGCACGAGCCGGGGAGGGGCAGAGAGAGTACTCCAAGCAGGCTTCACAATGTCAGGGCAGAGCCCTCCCTACTCAGGGCTCCAACCCGCGAACCGTGAGCCCCCTAGTAAACAGCCTGCACACGAACCTCCAAACCACAGTCTGCCTCCCTGAGACACCAACCTGCTCCAGTGTCAAAGGGTCATCTGTGCTCCAGATCCTGCAATTATCTGTGAAATGGAAATTTTACTCCAACTAACTTTGTGTTTATGTGTAATGGCTCAGTTTCCCACAGGCAGCAATAAATGTTGTTGCCTTGACGTTTTAATTCATATTTAAACATTTTTGAAGATGTCTTTACGGCTTTGACGTTTTTCATTTTCCTGAGTCTTGGAACCTGCCGGTGAATGTAAGGCGATCTGAAAACTGCAATATTCTGCAGATGCCTGGAAAAAGGTGTGCCAGTTTGATGGTTGCTAAAAGCTTGCTTGGTTGAAAAGAGTGTTTTGAGGTTTCAAGTGGATTCCTAGCTGTCTCTGCACGTTTCATTAAGTAATTTGATGAAAGTAATCAGATATTTAGTACCATCTGAGCAAGAAATCAAAACAGAACATAAGACAAAGGAGACAGGCTACTCTACCGGTTGAGAGAATAGGCTTTTGGAATAAAGCAGATATGGGTTTCACTATCACTGAAGTCTGCACCTCAGTCTCCTCATCTGTTGAATGGGAGCAATAATAATATTGACACCCCCCCCCAGGGTCCTTGTGAAAGTTGAATGAGATTTTCTATTAAAAAAACATTTATCGGGGCGCCTGGGTGGCACAGTCGGTTAAGCGTCCGACTTCAGCCAGGTCACGATCTCGCGGTCCGTGAGTTTGAGCCCCGCGTCAGGCTCTGGGCTGATGGCTCGGAGCCTGGAGCCTGTTTCCGATTCTGTGTCTCCCTCTCTCTCTGCCCCTCCCCCGTTCATGCTCTGTCTCTCTCTGTCCCAAAAATAAATAAAAAACGCTGAAAAAAAAATTTAAAAAAAACATTTATCATAGTAAGCATGTTAAATGGTATTTGTTACTAGCTACCACCTGAGGCAAAGCTTATAAACACACACACCCTAAAGAAATTTTAGATTTGGGTCATTGCTCACAGAAAACTCATGAGAATTTGTCCAAGCTTACTTTCAAAGGATCATAAGGGCTTTTTTGTTTTTAGTGACAAAGCTATCAAATTTCTCATATCGAAGGTGACAGCTGAATAGAGACCTTTTCAGGCAGTGTGGGTGTGAGTCGTGGATTTCCAGGGAAAGGCATTTCAAGCTGAAGGAACAGCCAGTGCAAAGCTCTGGGAGGACAGCTAGCTTGGAGCTGAGGACCAGCTGAGAGGTCCATGTGGCTGCAGGGTAGATGAGGTCAGAGATGTGAGGGGCAGGTCTTGTAGGACCTAGTAGGTCTTTGTGAAGACTGGGTTTTGATTTGCTGATTTGGGAAGCTGTCACAAGTCTGGAGCCAAGGAATGACAGGGCAGATGGCCCGATTTCTGTGTTGAAAGGATGCCCCTGACCACTGGGTTAGGAATGGAGTGGAGGCCTGCAAGGCAGAGAGACAGGGACCCCACCGTTAGGAGGCTCCTGCAGTCTCCCTAGCCAACGATGGCCACTCAGATCAGGGTGGTCACTGTAGGCACGGAACATACTTAGCATCTGCTGTATCTTGAATCCTGAATGGGGCGTTTGATAATGTCCTGAGAGGAAGAGAAGAGTCAAGGATAACTCTATGTGTTTTGTCCTGAGCAACTGGAGGAAAAAGATTCTTTTAAAAAATTTGTTTTAAAGTTCAAGTTAGTTAACATACAGTGTAGTGTTGGTTTAATCGAGGAAAATGCAAGGGGAGGGGCACCTGGGTGGCTCAGTCGGTTAAGCCTCAGACTCTTGGTTTCAGCTCAGCTCATGATCTCACGGTTGGGGGGAGGGGTTCCAGCCCCTCACATGGAGCCTACTTGGGATTCTCTCTCTCCCTCTGCCCCTCCCCCACTCACTCATATGCTCCATCTCTCTCTCAAAAAAAAAAAAATAAGTAAATGAACTTAAAAAAAAAATGCAAGGGGAGGCAGACTGGGGAAGGACTATGAGGTATTCGTGTTGGGACCTGTTAAGTATGAGATAGCTGTTAAACATCCAAATGAAAATGTTGAGGTGGCCGTGAGATAGAAGCATCTGGAGTCAGTGAGCAGTCTGGGCTAGACATATAAATTTGGGAGTCATCAGGCTATACGGTTGGTGCTCCAAACTATGGGACTGGAGGAAATTACTAAGGGAGAGGGGAGCTAAGAGGACACAGCTTGAGGCACTCCAGTGTTCAGGGCTCAGACAGACCAAAAGCAGCAGCAGCACAGGATATAGGTCAGGAGCTGCCAGTGAAGGACGAGGAAAACCAGGAGAATTTGGACACCAGGTGAAGGCACGTGAACAGGGCTTTGATGGTTGAACAGGAGTTCGTTAGGCCAGGGCTCCCCAAAGCGAGGTCCCAGACTAGCAGCATCACGATCAACATCTGGAAACCTGATAAGAATGTGCACAATCTGAAGCCCCAACCCAGGTCTACCAGATCAGAAACTCTGACAGGTGGGGGCCCTCCAGGGGATTCTGAGGCACCCTCAAAAGTTTGAGAACCACCGACCTAGGCACAAAATTGCCTGCACAAAACCGTAAAGGCCACTAAGAAGAAAAAAAAAAAAAAAACGGTCCCCACCACGTTCTTTCCTGGAAAAGAATTTTTAAAAGACACGCTTGGTGCTCAAAGCGCTCACTGTAACTCCTCCCTGACATCACCAGCCCCAGCCCCCACACGCCAATTTAGAAACCTACTAATTTATCATGGCTCTTTGGAGAGGAGGAATGCCCCCATTTTACGGGACAGAGGGAATCCTGAGAACCAGGCATGCCAGACATTCCACTGCTTAAAAAAAGGGGGGTGGTATTCCAGGCTTAGCATTTCTGGGCCCCGAACGCCCAGAGAATACTGAGAACGCGCTGAGATACAAAGCTTATGTCACCAGTTTCCAAGCTTTCCTCTAGGTTTTCCTAGGAGAATTCCACCCTTTTCCATTCTGGGGAGAAGAAGTTAAAATTAGGGCCAGCCTGCAGCCCTGGTGTGCCAGATGCGGGGAAGCTGTCCCCAGAAATAAGCTGGTTCCCACCGCGGATGGGCGGGGCGGGGCCGGGCGCCTCCAGTCCCAGCCCAGCGGAGGGGCTGCTGGAAGGCCTGCCCCCCTCCAAGTGTCTGCAAGAGGTCTGGTCCCGAGCTTTAAAACCCTGAGCCAAAGCCCTGCATCCCGACCTCTCCTCTCCCGGCCAGTCCTAGCTGGCTTTTCAAAAGTGTGCAATTGTCTCCTTCCCGCCCAGCCCAATCCTCGCCCGGGACCAGCTGTGCGCCGCGCCGGCTTCACCCGGGACGCGATCGAGCGGCGCTCCCCAGTCAGGCACCCCCAGCTTTCCGCTCAGCAACCCGAGCCGCTCCGCAAACTTGGGCAGCTCCAAGTGCACGCTCTGCCTCTCGCCTGGTCCGTCCCCGGCGCGCCCGCTCCCCTCCACCGGGGCTGCCGGTCCCAGCGGGCCGGTAGCTTGCACCCCCTTCGGGTCGTCCTCCCTCCCCGAAGCGCGACCATGCTGCTAAGGGGCGTCCTCCTGGCAGTGCAAGGTAAGTGCGAGGACCCAGGGGGACCCCCGGGGGGCGCCCTCGTGACCCGCTCCCGCAGCCCCGGTGGCCGGCTTGCCGTCCTGGGCTGGGCTAGCCGAGGGCGCCCCGGGATCCTCTCCGACAGCCGTACCCCTCTCCGAAGCCTGGAGTGGTGCTGCGGGTGCACGCAGGGCCCGCGGGGCAAGCGCCGGGGGCGGGGAGGGTATAGTGGTGCGCCCCTCCCGCGCGCATTCCCGTCACTTTCACCCCGTCCCCCCACGGGGCGCCCCGAGTTGGTGCAGACGCTCCCAGGCCGAGCCCCAACTGAAACTCGTTTTGTGCCCGCAGCCCTGCAGCTTGCGGGAGCCCTGGACCTGCCCGCGGGTTCCTGCGCCTTTGAAGAGAACACCTGCGGCTTTGACTCGGTGCTCCAGTTTCAGCCCTGGTTTTTAAACGAGGAAGGTAAGGGGGCTCCCGAGCCACCCGGGCCCCGAGGTGAACTTTCCTCCTTGCTGGTTGGCTCTTTCTCAAGGGCAATGCTATCTTGGAGTTAAATCCCCTCCGGAGGAAAAGTGTGAGTCATGGATCCTCCTTCCAACCTTCAGCTGTGCGAGGCCGAGGAAGACGTGGGGGCGGGGATGCCCTTTGTTTACCTGGCCCCCGGGTGGAAGCGCTGAGATTTTCGCTCCCCCTCCCCCGCCCCCCAGCACTTCCTAATGGAAGGGAGAAAGGGACACAGCTACTGACTGTCACCCTAGCTGTGTGCCCTCTGCAGGTTGTCAGCCTCTCTGGTCCTCAGTAGACACCTTTACGAGCGGGGAGAGTTGGATGGGAGGTAGTTCTGTTCCCACACTGCAGAAATGGTTCCCCAATTCTGTGATGAGACCTCCGTGATAAGAGCTCGTGGTTACGCTGTGCCTCAGTGTGTTGCTGCTGACTTCATCCTCGTACTTCTGTTGTGTTTGCAACCCAGCACTTAGCAAAGGAGGAAACGAGTCCAGGACTGTGTGCCTGAGGTCACTGGGCTGGAGGCGTTGGTCATCGCCTCACCACTACATACTGTTTGGGTTCTGGTGACAGTTTAAATGTGGGTCTTCGGATGTTTCTTCTTGCCCTTCATTATGTGGTAAAAACACAAGCAGCCCTCCAGGGCTCCACAGCAGGCCCTGGGCTCACCCTCTGCTTTTCTTTTCCCCCCCTCGGTGAGCCCATTTGTAGAAGCCTGATGCCCCAGGACATTTGGACTGGGGATAGCCTCCTTTAAAAACACAGCAGCTTAAAGGAGATCAGCTTCCCCTCTGAGCTGTCCTCTGTCCCCAAGGCGTCCCAGCTGGCTTCCCCGGAGCTGGGTGGAGGCCACACCCCTGCTTCGCACGCACAGCCTGTCACCACAGCTTGCCCTGGCCCACGCTTCTCTTGGGCTTCTGTTGGCCTCTCGGACCCTCACGGGTGGGCGATATTACCCCGTTTTACAAAGGTGGCCATTTCAGTCTCAGAACGGTCAAACTGCTGGCCCACGACACATGGTGTCACTCCACAGCTGGCCCTGAGCTGTCTAGTTAAGGGGAAGAACCTGGAAGGAAGCAACTCAGTAGCAATCTTTATTTATTGCCAACGGTTGCCAGGTCTTGACCGCTACAGTTTACTTCGGGATGGCTGGGGAAAAAGCAACCCCTGACTTCCTACCTGAGGGGTTCCGACCCTGCTGATGGCCTTGGGAAGGTCTCTGTCATCTCGCCACCCCACCTTTTCTTACCCTGTTCCTGCTGTGGGCGAAGCACCCTGAGAGACCACTGGATGTGGACCGTGGGACGGGCATTATTCCCTAGCACTACCAAGCTTCTCAGGCTTCAGCTGCACAGGAATTACCTGGTGTGCGTGTTACACAGATGCTGAGCCCCTCTCCGCCCGAGTACCAGATTCACTGGGCCTGAGAATTTGCATTTCGAACAAGTTCCCAGGTGTTGCGGCTGGTCTGAAGACGATGCTTTGAGAACCACTGACCACAGTGTGTTTTTACACAACACACACATGCACCCACTCACACACCTGTCCACCAGTGCTGGTGGCCCTGAGCAGAGCGGGAATTAGTGAGAAAGGGCCACTGGCGTGACGCTGAGACTGAAAACCTGCTTAAATCTTGTGCCCTCAACACGCCTCCTGCCTCACGCTAGTCCTGGCCCCAGGTGAAGGACATCAACATCACCCCTTAATCCAGGAGGCCCAGTCTCAGAGCCCCCACCCCCAGCAGGGTGGCTCCTCACGGCCTGCTCCGGGGTCAGTGGATGCGCCACAGCAGGCTGAGCTTAACCCGCCTTCCAGACCCACAGGAAATGCTGGCTTGGCCCGTTTGCACCCAAGTGGCAGTTAAACAGCGCCCCTTCGGGGAAAACAGGAAGATGCTTATAATAGGAGAAGGTGATTATGGTTTAATAGTATAATGGAAGCACTGTTGCTTTCCTTCTAGCTTTCTTTCTCGCTTCTAACGGCCACTGCTTTCTGGCTCAGGATCAGGACTACTGGCTTGGCTGGGGGGAAGTTAATTCATTCTCCTCTGAGCCTTCCCGGCAGAAGACAAGAGGCAGGGTAGGCCTCATTCGCTGGAGAGCAATGTTTTCCAAAGGCCAGAACTTGGACGCGACCAAGCGCCCTCCAGAGGGGCAGTGAGGTGTGCGCCTGCCGAGAGGCCATCGCTAAGAATTTCCGTTGTAAACCCGTTCTCGGGTTGGTCAATTAAAGATGATAAAATCAGCAGAGGCGGCAGTTTGGCAAGCTGTGGCCAAGCCTCTCTGCAGATTTACTTCAACTTGCTGCAAGAATCCTTTGAGAATGGTTCCATCCACCGCCACATGTTGAATACACCATAGAAAGTTGTAGGTTTCAGAGACCTTTGCCCACGAGTATTTGGCATACAAATGGCACTTTATGTCCTTGGTCAGTAGGTTAATTTGCGGGGAGGAGGCCCAGTGCAGGGAATTAAGTAGGGAAACAAATCTGCGAATTGGAATCTCATCACAGGAAAATCAAATCTGGGGGTAATTGTGTCAGGCCCTTGCTCAAAATATCCCTCCGCTGCCCCAAATTGTATGTAAGGTCCGCTTCTGTGGCGCCTTTCCAGTATTAGGTCTCTAAGAGTCTGTCATTGCAATTCCAATGTCTCTAGTTCATGGCCATCTTGAAATATACTTGATCTCCACTGGGCATGGGATGGCTGAGTTTTGACCAGTGTTGTTTGCTTGGATTGTGTACCACAATGGAGGGTGCCCCCAGAACAGGGGGGGGGTGCCAGTGCCGGTGATTAGATGCTGCAGTCCAGTCTTGTCTACTTTCTAGATTTGCTAACATTGCCCAATTTAGTTTAATTTCCCTCTACACTTTTTGGAGAATATTTTTATTTCCTCTAAGTTGTCAAGGGAAGTGAGATTATGTTAGACTCAAACTGGAATTCACGTCTAAATTTTAGGTTTGAATTAAATCCAGGAAAGAAGAGATCTATTTAATCCTATAAAAATCTTCTTTATTCCTTCATTCATCCTG